AAAATGTAAACAAACATGTCCGCCATCGCAAAATTCATTAGGCTTAGCTGCACTTAAACACATTTTAAATTGTTGATAACTCCACAAATATTACATGCAGATTTACCAAAGGCATAAAAACCTTAACCAGAAGATAAGAACAATATAATTCAATCATTTTTAAAGCGAAAAATGCACAATTTATAAACATATAAAAATAAAGAAACTGAGATTACTGAGCCGAGTAACATAGTGGATATATACCTACGGTTCCCAGACAAAAGCCCACTGGACGAAAGCGCACGCGATAAAAACCCACAAAAAAGCCCCCTATGATAATTGCCCACGCGACAAATGCACACAGCAACGAAAGCGCACATTGATAAAAGCGCACACTGATAAAAGCCCACATTGATAAAAGCCCACACAGATATAAACCCACGCTGATAAAAGCACACACTGATAAATGCGCACAGAATCAAAAGGGACTTATGATTTTTATTACTATAAAATGTATTTATAATTTTAATTATAATAAATGGAGTATTCAGATCTAAATTTGAATGTCTCAAATATGTCTGTTTGTATATTTTATCACTACTTTATTTGTTTAATTTATTCGGTTGAAAGCAAACTTTCTGCTCTCTGCTTGATTAGCTCGATGATAAATTTCGATTATTAAATCTGAAATTGCATTTTATTATTTATTTACTTATTTAACTTTTGGTATGTGTATGTGAAAATGAAAAATATCATTGTGAAGTTTCTCACATGCTATTTTAAAGGTAATATGGCTGAGATTAAATATAATTATGTTTCATTATTAAAACTATTAAGTTTTTAATTAAAAAACACTTGAAATTTTTCTTACTTTTTAGTTTTTCCTTTAGTTCCTTTTTAGGTTGGTAATATTAAAATAGTCAAGCACAAATAAAAACTTCGCTAAGAGATATTTTATTCTTTACTTTAGACTGAGCTTATTATCAAAGTTTAAACATATTTCTCATTGAAAACTTATTATTTAAAAAGAAAAAAAGAGAGAGAGAGAGGGGACAATTCTATATCTTCTATATCTCCCGTTCTACTGGGCCTATTGACGAAATTCAAATTGCATTTTTCGTCTCTCGAAAGCGCGACTTTGTATATATTCGCTATCCGAATATATACAAAGAGATATTATAATCTATATAAAGCTGTATCGAATATATACAAAGCGATATTATATATATGGCTTTGTATATATCCGTGACTTTGTATATATTCGCTTTGTATATCTATGTTAGAATGATGCTATATATCAATCTAACATAGGTATTTTGACACAAAATCGGACTTTTTCTGAAATAACATATGCCCAACAGCGGCCGAGCGGTAAAGTCGCTGAACACTGGTAGTTCAGTCCGAGGTTCGAATCCCGCGAACGGGCTGGCTGCATGGGCGTTTTCGTGGTTTTCCCATGTGTAACGTGTATACGAGCCAGTTTCCCTTAGAAAGTCCTCCACGAAGGCATCCCTCCTCTTAGGCAGATCGCCCTCGAGGCTTTACCATAATCACACACACACTGAAATAACATATCAATTGTTTACATATTTCGATTCTACGACTCAAATTATGCCAGACTTCCAAGTGTTGTAAAAATTGCACGAGTAGTTTTTAAAAAATTAGCTCTAAAAATTTTAGCTCCTCAATGTTAATTGAATTTGGTATATATTTATTAATATCTCATTTTTTATTAAACTTTGTATTTTTCCTTTCATATTTCGAAATTTAGGTTCATTCCAAATAAAATTCACCCATCTTTTATGATTTATTTTTAAAATTTCTATTTTTAAATAATTTTTTAAAATTTTTCGAAAAACATTTTGAATTATAACCTATAAAATTTTTATCATCATCTAAATATAGGTGTATTTCTAAGCATACCTGCAAAAAATTAGACTTTTTTATTCAAAATTTTGTAAGATATACATGAGTTTACATATTTTCGCGTTTTGAAATTTGGCATCTGTTTTCTGAGCGATAATAACTCCAAATGTGCTTTATGCATTTTTTTACAGTGAATTACCGCAGCTATTTTTGGTCTTAAGTTTCAAATAAAGTTTTACGCAGAATTAATTATATGAAATTTTCCCCCTCAATTATGCGTAATAAATATTTATGAATACTATATGAAAAGCTATTTTTTTAAATTATAGATGATATTATTTAAATTTTGAACTTTTTTTTTTAATTTCATTCTTTTCTCTCTCTCTCTCTCTTTTTTTTTTTACTTTAATATTTGTAAGAGTAAATTTTTACCTTCGTCGTGTTATCGTCTGCTACTTTACTTTAACTTCATTTAAATTGAATTGTCTAAAACTGAGAAAAGTTTGTTTGATGTTTATTGTTTATGTGCTTTTAAGCAAACAGGACGTTGAAATTTTTGTGTCATGTCCCAGCTTTAAACAAATATTACATAAATATAAATTTTTACATTAATTCTCTTAGAAAGAATGTTTTAAGTAGTAATTTTCTGTCGTGTTGTAGATTATATAAGAAACATCTTCTTTAATATAGTAATTATTAGGATTAAAAACTCTAAAAAGTATGATTTAGATTGTCTCCACCCGATATAACAATCAGGTCACACGGTGGTACAGGATAAGCGCTGCTGGAGTGGTTTATTTCTTCCTCATTTAACAAAAATATTTTAATTCAAATATTTATCCTTTGGACTTCGCTTTAAACTTTATTTATAGTTAAAATGTCTTGAAATTGAAAAGCTGTCTTCATCTAAAACACATTTGACGTAACTGATATTTAAAAAAAATTGACAAGAATGCAAAATTTATGGAAAATAATAGATAATATTTTAATTGTAACAATCTTAATTTTCTTATGTTAGCACTGAAAACAAATGTAGAAGGAAAGAAGGAAATTGGGGGGAAGCAAAAATTTAAAGGGGAATCTACTCCAAGGAAGTTGGATGTTCAAAGAGAAAACACTTGGACGTGTACACCAGCAAATAGCAGCAATTGAATTTGTGCTAACGGAAAAGACAAAAGCGATATCATTTCAGATTAAAGTGAAGAGCGACTGGGTTTCGACTATAGGGTTGTATAAATTTAATTTACTTCATAGAACATCATATCGTATCATAAACGGAGCATCCCACAATTTCTGAGTGGAATTATTTAAAGATTCCGGAAATTATCCACTGACGTACATAGATACCAGCTTAAAGAAGTTTTTCCTATTGATGAAGCCAGTCTTTCCTTTCATCTCACGCCTTCAAAATACTTAGCCTGTAAAGACTCATAGAGGCTCTGTCTAAATACTGATGAAATGGATTGATTTGGATTATTAAGTTACGGCAAAGCCGGGCTATCTGCATTTAAGAAGGGATGCCTTCGTGAAGAACTTTCTACACGAAAACCAGCTCGTATATACGTTACACAAGAGAAAAGTAACGAAAACGGCCATGCAACCAGCCGTTCGCCGGGATTCAAATCCCGGAGCGAACTACCAGTGTTCAGCGACATTACCGCTCAGCCGTTTGTGGGCCCTTTCGAAATGGAAGGCGATAAATTTATTTAAAATTAAGGTCAGAAATACCAATGTGTTTCGAAAAGTTGGATGCTTTTTAATATACTTGCAGAATGCCTGAAAAAAAAGATCAAAAAGAAAAAATAATTTTTTGCATAATATATCGCATTTTTTATTTAATTTTTTTAAAAAAATTTATGATAATTGATTCTTGCGATTTCAAAAAAAAAAAAAAAAAAAAAAAAAAAAAAATATTTGACTAAAATATGATAACATTTAAAGCAATTAAATATAGGATGATAAAATTGTGTAAAGCAATGGGCGCAATGATAAAACTGTTTTAAAGCAATGTTTGCAAGTTATCTTAAAATTTCGGATATATATCTCTCTTATTTATATATCTTTTCTGAATGGAAAATGTGCTTTACTGTATTTTCTCTTTTAATATATGCAGTTTTCAAACGAATCGTAGTCTGGGTCACAAAGCAGTCTTCCAAAGGAAACGCAATTCAAATAAATAAAATCAAATTTTGGAAAATTTATATTAATAAATATATTTAAAATGTGCAGTTCGAATGAATGAATAGAAAATTTTAAAACAATTATCTGAAGAGACAATGCAACACACAAAATTAAAATAAAAGTATAAAGAAAACCATTGGAAAAAAAAATAATAAATAAACGATGCATCTTTTATTTGAGCTACGCAGTTCGAATGAGTAAATAGAAACTTTTAAAACAGTTATTTGAAAAGAAACCATGGAACTTAAACAATTAAAAGGAAATTCGAAAATGAAAAAAAAAAATAATAATATAAAAATATAATACAAAGAACATTATTTGAAAAAAAGAACGTAGCGACTTTTTTTTCTTTCACGCACAATGTAAAAAAGGAAAAAGAAAATAGGTTGCCGTATGTTAAAAAGTTCGCCAAGTGAACTATTCTTGGCGCAAATTAAAGAAAAGCGCCAATATAAATTCTTGAATTTCTCCCTAAATTTCTCACCAAATTTGACAAAATTTCATATTTAGGCATAATTGGAGTCGTAGAATTGAAATATGTAAAAAAATTCGTATGTTATTTCCGAAAAAAGTCCGATTTTGTGTCTAACTACCTACGTTAGAATAGTGCTATATATAAATCTAATACATATCCTAAGTCCCACTGCCCCCCCTCCATTTTATTTCGCAGTGTACTGATAGAATAAACGTGATATTTTGAATATCATATTTATTTGATTTAATATCTGTTTTCTATGATTTAATATCTGTTTAAAATGATATTTTTAAATAGATAATTGTCGTAAAGATTTCATGAGTATGGTTGTTTGAATTTGCAAGCAACATTGCTGTTAATTATATCACAGGTTCCTCCATATTTGCAGGGATTTTATTTGGAGAGATTTAAAAGTAAACTTAAGAAGCGCAAATACATTTCCATGTTGTACTAATAGATTACAACAGAACACCATGCAATTTTATTAAAAAAAAATTACCGTCTTCACATTGCTTTCCCGAGTACGGAGATTTACAGGAACAAGTATATCCAGTGCTGGTCACCGTACATTTTCCATCGTGCTTACATGGATTTGGTTTACAGGGATCTGGAAAGTGTGGAAACAATTTAAAACTTTCGTGATACAGGAATATGAATGTTTCATTTCTGTTATTTATAATTCATATGCTATTTTTAAATTTTATCAAATATGAACTGGTAATAAATTATTTTATTTTCAACATTTATTTTAAAAACGAATGGTAATTTGGGGAAGAAGATAAAACAATCTGCAACATTGGGATGAAATTGCGTATGTTTGAAGCTTACGATAAAATTTGCGAAGTATTGAGTTTTGGCAGCTTAATAATTGTCTAGCTTTGACTAGCTGGACATAAATGTCTTGCTAATTTGGGCTCTTCAGCTCGTTGCGACGGCGTATCGAGATGATATATATAAGAAATAATTGATGTGTCCCGCGTGAAATTGAGTCCTATGTTCAGCGAAGGCTTGTCTGTATATATTTCCAGGACTATGGTGGGGTAATAACATGATTGTTGTCAGTCACACAGGTCGATTATCATGAAATATATTTTAGGGTATTTCATTTCACAGCAGGATTTCTTTGTTTTTAATCCGTGACACTCTTACAAGCACGGCAGTACGCCGATGAGATTCTGCACTTCTTTCTGTTGCCTTTCGTTTAGGCTAACCTTTAAACAGGATAATGCACGTTCGCTTACGACACACATTTCTGTTGCTTCTCTTAGTGTTAAAGTAAGGTGTGAGTATTGTAATAAACTAGGATGCGTTAAATATTTGAAGTCTTAAATGGTTAGCTAAGATAACGTTGTGTCCGCTAAACCCATTGATACATATGAATAAGTGATGATATGTGTGACCTAAGGAAAGAAACATTTAATTAGGAACTTACCCAGAATCAGAAACCAGTTGCTGAATGACGAGAACACGCGAAAAACTTTTCTTTATTTTCCTATTTCTAAGCAACACTGTTTACTTGAATAAGTATTAATGAAATTTAAATTGAAACTTGCCAGATTAATAAAATTTCAACCGCTGAATAGCTCACATTATTTTTGCCAGACTTAAGGTAATATGGTTCTACACGTGATATCACGAATATTCTTTACTGCTGCATCGGAAAATGTTAATCATAGTCCATCCGTTCAAAAATTGGATTCTGAGAAGACAAAGCCACGAAAAATCTTTTGCAGAGAACCAGTATAAAGCAAAAGAAGGCTTAATTTTTGAAATGAATTAAGAAACACGTATTTTCAAACACTTATTTGATGAGACACGAGGTAGGTGACAAGATCATACTAGTGAAGCCATCTTTCGTGTCTGTCTCGCTAGCCAGTAGAAAAAATAATAGCAGCAATCTTATACGAATCTGGAGTTTAATTAGGATTCACCAGCAAGTTGAATCAGTCTCATAAAATTGGCATGGCTTTTCCCAGGCATCAGTGGAAGAAAAAGGCACATATCAGCGTAGCGGCAGGAAAGGAACAGGCCAAAAGGCTCGTCTTTCATCTCAGAACTCGAGACGCCGAAGAGGAAGAAAAACCGGTTGGTGAAGTCTATTTAAGAGTTGGCTGATTCGATGACGATTAAAAAACGATGCGAACGTAGTTCTACTGGGACACTTCCTTGGCCAACGTGTTTGGGCCGGTCTGTCCACAGTATTTCACGTTTTGGCTGCATTATGCTGGCCTCGCCTACCCTTTCTGTATCACATACAGAGATACCTCCTACCCTCGTATCTAACTTGCCAATTTTGAACGTGCATGTCTTATACGTACAGGATGTTATCCGAAAACTCTACGTGTCAATTCCCAGTTGGATAACATCTTGCATCAGGGCCAGAATGGGAGAATTCATTATTGAAATTTGTTTGTAGTTTGAGCTGTATTTCCTGAATAAATTGTTCAGTTCCTAAGACACTGTTAGAATTTCATTTTCAATTCATATTCATCTCACCCACTAGTTTTCTTCCCATTCGGATAACTCCTTCTTTGTGCTTCGTTTTTAATTTTGAAGAATGTATTTTACATATCGTTACTGTGCAGTATTTAGTGAGAAATTTTTCATTTGTTAAACATTGATCCAACTGTTCATTTAGAAGTCAAACATCAGCGTTATATTTGCAAATTTTCACAGGACTAGTTTCGATGGATTTACCGAACCATTATCCTCAGTTTCCAAAGCGCAAATGAACGAAATGAGCTGTAGTGATTAGATAAATTAAATAAGATAAGAAAAGAATGACTGGCGCCATCTATTGATGAAATGAGAACTAAAACATAATTTCCTTAAAGGTTGAAGGGAAGCAGGGATTGGAATTAGGGTCGTTAACTAGAACAGAAAGAATATTTGAATAAGAAACGCCTCTAGAAAATCTAATTAACCAATGGAAGATGCTTTTTGAATAATTTTGGTTGCAGAAAAACTGAAAGTGTGATTTTCGGACCAACAATGCTGGGCAACAGAAGACTTTGTTTACTTTTTTCTAACATACGCTCATGTTCCTTAACTCGAAATTTTAAAGCTCTGTTAGTTTGGCCAATACAAATTAAACCGCAATGGCAAGGAATTATGTAAATACCCCAGGAATTCATATCCGGAATGGGGACCTTCGGTATGGAATTCGGAATTTTATTGATAGAGGAATAAACGTAACTGACGGAAAGAAACGAAATGACAACAGAATTCTTATAATCTCCTAAAGCAAGATTGTGCCATTTGGTATGTTGAGATAAGAATTTTTTAACTGCTTGATTAATAATGTTGGGTGAAAATCTCCCTGTCAATAGCTACTGCTTTTAAATAATTTAGTTCTCAATCAAGAGCCAATCTGGAGGAGCAAACCTGAAGTGCACGGAAAACATAGAAATAAAATGGACCTAACTTTTATTTAGTTGGATGACATGGTTTGAAGTGTGGTGGAAGGCAAACCGATGAATTCTTGGGTATTTAGAGAATTCCTTATCAGCATGGTTTAATTTACATTGGCCAAACTAAGAAGGCCTTAAAATTCCGCGTTAAGAACCATGAGGCATATGTTAGGAAAAAGGAAACACAGAAGTCCTCACAAGAAGCATTGTTGATCCAAAAATTACATTTTCAATTTTTCTGCAGCCAAAATTATTTAAAAAACATCTTTAATTGGTGAACTAGATTTTTTAGAGGCGTTTCGCATTCGAAAAAACAGTTATGTTCTAGTTAACGACCCTAATTCCAATCCATCTCTGCCTTCAGCCTTTAAGAAAATTATGTTTTTCTTCTCGTTTCATCAAGTTCTCGTTTCGTCAATAGATAGCGTCAGTAGCAAAATTCCTGTCCAGCCATTCTTATGTTATCTTATTTAATCACTATATCTTATCTCGTTGGTTATAGTCGAGTTATTTCTAAATATTTTTTTCTTGATCTGAAGCTTCAGTGAATTCCTTTTCTGCTTTCAGCCATTTTTATTTATTTATTGTTACAAGGAAAACATGTGTAAAATTATTCTTTAGAATATTTCGCGAAATATGAATTTCAGAGATTTGGAAAAGTATTCCAAGATTTACTGACGTACTTTACGTGATGGTTCACCAATTAGTCATATAAAATCGAACTCTAAACCTAGAAAGTGTTAATTATGTCAGATATGTTGCTTATGGCTTCAAGTCCTTCGTGATTAAGTTGATTTTCTCATGGTTTATTCTCTTTTTCATACTGTATTTTGGGCGTCTCCTTTTAAAAATGTATTTTTGGCCATTTAATTGACCATGTTAGAACATATAAACTGAAGTAGTAAACTTCCGACGTAAAATTATTTTTACTTGAGTAAGAATAATGAATATTATATAGAGAAGATAACATACACGTAATTCTAATAGAAACTTATGCCTTTACAACGAAAATTGTATTAAATTTCATGTTTAATGAAATCCTAATTTTAATTTAATTTTACTACAAAGTAAAGAATGCAAGTAAAAAGTCAGAATATCATCAATATATACAGATTTACTGAAGAATAATAAGCAATTTAGAGTGAAAAGTAATGAATGAAATTCAAAACTTTCACAAAAATTAAGTAGCGTATAGATTAATATCTTTTTTTACCTGTGTTGCTGTTTTTCGCAGTTCTGGCCAGTGTATTTCGGTGGGCACGCACACTTGTAGGAATTTGGAATATCAATGCAGGTTCCTCCATTTTTACATGGATCCGGTGAACAAGGACCTATAGAATTTATATATTTAAATGAATCTTAATAAAATATTGGTTTTTTCCTTAACTTGAATTTGAAAAGAGAGAAACTGTCAAATTTTTAACATATTTATGCATATATCCATTTATATATGCAATGTTCGCTACTATGTATGATTATATATGTATATATATACACTATATTATTATATATATATATATATACACTATATTATATAATATATATATATATATATATATATAACATTAACAAGCAAGATAGTTAGTACAATACAGTAAGACCAATTTGGTCTAAATAATTATTTTGCGCAATATGCTGCAAAATTAAGGATATTAGAAATTGTAGAAAGCTCGCCTAAAAGTTACCAGGAGCTGTGGTTCCAAGAAAAGTTCAACACATTTTTTAAAAAAACAATGTCATTGAAGGGTGAAAAATTATGCTACACGAGAAATTAAACACATTAAAATATATGTATAAAGATCTCCTACAGCGTCCTCCTGTCTGCGTAGATATTGAGATGTTGATCCATAACAAACAATAGCCATGGCATCGGAGACAGATTAAATGTTCATTTTTATTTCAATTGGTACTCGTGCTCGCAATTCACTTCGTACTGTAATCGTTCCAGATACAAAACATTTATATTTTTGACAGCTTTGGGGTAAGACGAAAGCAGCGAGCAGTAGTCTGCCTTCGCTGAAGAGCAGAAGAAAAATGTGCTGTTAAGAGAATTGTTTTGGTTCTCGTATTTCTCAATTCGGAATTATTGCTAATTGATAATTTAAATTATAATTTTGATTTACATATCTAATATCTAGCATATATATATATATATATAGATATATAAAACGTAAAGTATCTAAAGTTAAAATTAAATTGAAATCAAAGCAATTCTTCAATTAATTTTAACGTTAGATGCTTTAAGTTTATTTTACTTGAATTCTGCAGTTATAGAGCAGGACGGAATTAAAATTTAAAAAAAAAAATTAACCTATTATTATGTTTCTTTTTATACTCACACACACACACACACACACATATATATATATAAGATAAAAATATATAAATCAAAATCATGGTTTAAATTAACGGCAAACACTTAATTCTCCCTCTCTATTCTAAAATTCATAATAACTCATCGAGATTGCGCCATTTCTACATTAATCTATGCCACGAAGCTTGCATAACGCTATTAATTATTTTCGGAACCTAAGCTCCGAGAACTGAAAGAGCCTGCTATATTGATGCCCCTTTAGCTTCTCTCTGTATGGTGCTTAGACGCAATTTCGCGGTTTTCTCTTCCAATCGCAACAGTATAAAAATGTAAACTTTCTAGACGTAAGCACGGTTAGAGCGTCAAGTGACTGCAGTCACAAATGCCAATTTAAATAAAAATAGAATATAATCTTACTGGGCTACCAAGTTTATTCTTCAATATGGCTTACGCCAAAAAAACCATTGCTACGTTTTTACGTCTCAGTGTTCCTACATCAATACTTCTCTGAAATTTGCTTTTATTCTATATATGCATCCTGGCCGTTAAAATTGCAACACTATGAAGAAAAGCGAATACAAAAATGATATTTATTGCATTTAAACAGTATTGCATGAAGACAAAATAATCAATTTGTAAGCATTTTGCAGGTTGCGAAATTAGTAGAAATAGCCGCCATCACTGACCTCTAAAACGGCCCTTACCCCTTAGGCATGGAAGCAAACTGAACTTAATTGGCAGAAAAGTGTAGCTCATTCCCTGCTGTTTTAGTCTGCGCCACACTTCATCAAACATATTAGCTGAAGAGGGGTAGCGGGACAGTCTCTCAGCAGCCCATGACCAGATGCTTTCAATGGATGATAAATCTGGAGACCGTGCAGGCTAGCGCAGCAATTGAATACATTATGTATCGGAGAAGGTCAGAACACGACGCGCAACATGTGGCCTTGCATTATCTTGCTAGAACATGGCGCTTGGGGGCCTCGAAGAGAGGGCACAACCACTGGACGTAACATGTCAGAAATGTACCCATCTGCTTTCAAATTACCGTCGATCCGAACTAGAGATGTGCGTGTCGTGTAATACCACACCAGGTGCAGGGCCGCTATGTCGATATCAAAAGCAAGCAAGCCACGTGGGGGGGGGGTCTTCAGAGCTTTTAGACACATATACGGCCATCAGAATACTGCACATAGAACCGAACTCGTTTGGAAAGGCGACATTGTGCCACTTCTGTACCCAGTTTTGTCGTTTGGAGCACTATATTCGCCGTCTCTCTATACTGCATTGTCAAGGGAAACCGAAGTAATGGTCACCTTGCTGTGATTAGTCACTGCTGTGACAGACCACGCTGCTTCAAACGTCGGTGTGCTGCAAATATGCCCATTTCCTGACTAATGGTTTTTGATGCGGTTGTACGGGTTTGCAGGGCTGAGCTCACAATATATCTGTCCTGTCTGGCGTTAGTAATGGGAGGGCGTTGAGATCCTGCATGCCCTTCAGTATGACCCTCAGCGATCCATTGATTCCATATTCGCATGATATTGGTTAGATGTCGACCAGTGCGACAGGCAACATCACGGAATGATAATCTACACTTTCGATAGGCAACGATCTTGCCTCTGTCGAATTTCGAAACTTAGTGGTAAGCGTTTTCCCTTCTTATTCGAGGCATAACACGATATTCTTAGCAAACTCCAACATTACAAAGCCCTTTCCGAATATGAAATCCACTACACAACGTTTCTTTTATGCATTACTTCAGAAGTTGTTTCTCTGTCCTGCGTTGTCTAAAATGCGTTGAAATACTAATCATTTGCATACCCCAACTTCTTCCTTCCATGCGTTTAACGTTCGTCTGATCATTCCTCCTGGTGTTGCAATTTTAATGGCCAGCAGTGTGTATTTATATATATATATATATATATATATATATTAAGTTTTAAACTACTTTTTATATTGTGTTTATTGTATTTATTCATTTATGTATATATGTAATATAAATATATAAACTGAAGCATTACATTTTGAATAAAAGTTTACTATTGTAATTGCTATTTGGTTTTTCAAGTTGAATTCTAAAAGTCATTCTAGTTCCTATGCAACAGTTCATTCACCCGATATTTAGCCACAGGTATTATTATCAAAATGACTATCGATAAATCTTATATTTAGGTACTTTCCTTTCTTTCTCGTTGTACTCAATGACGAACTCACATGGAAAGGGCATATAAACTATGTAAGAAGTAACCTTCTTCGTGTCATGAATTTAATACTCAGCATCATAGGCAAGGTTTCCCTTATAAAGTCCTCCACGAAGGTATTCCTCCCCTTAGGCAGATAGCCCTCGAGGCTTTGCCATAATCACACATACACGCATCATAGGCAAGCACTCTAGATTGGACCTAAAGAAAAGACTAATATATACTTCTACCCCATTTTGACCTACGCATCCCCTGTCTGGGCTGCAGCAACGGGTAGCGATATTCTAAAACTGGAAATTCTTCAGTCAAAATTCCTACGAATTGTGCGTAATGATCAACTGCACAGCGACCTCAAACCGGACTCCATTGCTGATTACCTGAAGAAAGCAAATAATCGCTTCTTCGCGAAAAGTGTAGACTGTGAAACTTTAAATTTCTTTGGGACTTTCCAATACGTGTTAATGCCCAACTGCTAACTAATGAAAATTCATAAATACTCTATGTAGGTTAATTCAATTTGATTATCATGAAATGTGGATGTAAAAATTGCAGAATGTTTCCCCAATCAAATGACAATTTCAGCTCCGATGCTGGAAAGAAGCTTAAGATTAAAATGGACCAACCAGATGCCTACTCATCTCTCACGTGACAATGCAACTATTTCTTCCTTTTCCTACTCAGGATCAGCGAGACAAAAGAGGTTACAATCAGTGATACAAAGAACTTATTAACATCATGAAAAGTGTATCGTACGAATATTTTTAATGCTTGCGTCAGGAACAATATTTTTCCAGAAACACGCAATTATTTTCGTATTAAGAAAACCTGGGGAAGACGGTTCCCTCACAAGTAATTATCGGCCAATCAGTTTGCTGCCTGCGATTGCTAAAGTTTTCGAACGCATTATAAGGAATGAGATTAAATATTTTATTCAAGATAACAAAATAATTAAGGCACATCAATTTGAATTTAGGACCGGATACTCAACATCTTAGCAAATTAAAAGAGTAGTAGATAATTTGTCGAAGTTACAATAAAAAAAGAGACTGTAACCAGAATCTTTTTAGACTTTGAGAAAGAATTCGATAAGGTTTGGCATAATGGCCGAATATAATTAATATGATACAGGACATACGAAAGCTTTTCATTACCACCATCAGTGTACAAATATCATTATTGGTAGTCACTGATATGTCATCACACCAAGGGCCCTTCCTGGCTCATCTTGGAATGAGCGCGCCAAAACGCAGCCCCCCTGTTGAAATTACTGACTTATATCAAAACCTTTTGATTACCTCTCCACTAAATATTGGTTTTCTGAAAACTATTCAGGACATTCAGAGTGCTGTTCAAATTTGCATCAATTTTCTGAAAAAATGCGCGAATGCGTGCTACCAAACGCCCTTGGCCATACGCGGTATTCATTGATCAAGATGGAAATAAACAGATTAAATCGTCCCAACAAGCACTATGGTGGAGTGAAAAAGGGACAAAAAAATTGTTTTTCCAAATTTTATTATTTCCTGATCCAAAAAATGGTTCTTTTCGATGAAAGTATCTGTAGTAAAATTAACTGCAGCTCAATCGTTCGTCATCTTCAGGTTCCATATGAAGTAAATAAAAAAAATCAATGTTAAGGTTAATGAAAACGTTAAACTAATTTTTACCAAATTTCTTTAATGATTTGTTTACAAGATTTTTCTTTCCTGACCCAACATTTGGTTGTTAACTGGTAAAAATATGGCGGTAAGAAATCTCAGCTTAATCACACTTCATCTTCAGGTTCCACAAGAGAACCGCAGAAATCCATCTT